TTTAATTTTGACATTTCGAATTTTTAATTTGCACGACCGGTTGCTCCTTTCGCTTGGTTTTATTTTACTGTTGTATCTCTCGTCCTGTCTCGCAGCATGAAAATATTTAGATACCTGCCTAGCAGACACTGGGAAGGACATGACCCAGCAGTAGACCAGGAAGCCGAATTTGTATATACGGCATTAAATCATGTTATATTTCGTGATACTGTTCTGAGGATCTATTCAAGTAATATCGATTCTCCTAGCTTACCGCTCTCCTTCTCTTTTTCTCTTTCTTTCTTTCTCTCACGATCAAAGAAACTGAAGCACCATAAATTTGCTATGGGATATTGCCTGGCTGATATTAAAGTAACTTAGCAACATGGTGTCGGTATTGTTTTATATTGCTTTCGCTGTCTTTTGATGACGACCAGAATGCGAAATTTACTCTTCCGTCTACTTGTAACTCGGGCGAATGGAAAAGAAACAAATACTTGAGATATGGCATTTTGGGGTTGTATGTATGTTTGCCATTGTGTCCTGAATCTGTGCTGAATTATATAGTTAAGAATTATCCAGTTTTAATATAAGTTCTAAAATTGTAAATTTAAGCATGTCGAATAATTATTTTCGCGCCTTCATCGAGTAATACTTAAATACAATCTTTGATATTGTAACTGAGTAAGCTTAGTCTATTAAAGAACTTATATAAGATACAACCAAAGCGCTTGTGGGTATCGTTCCTTAGCGGAGTGCTTCAAAACTTTCATTACTTTCTGCTAAGCAGAAACAGAAGTTGTATTTTTTCCTGTATTTTAACTGAGCAAATAAATATATTGGGCACCTATCAGATTGGTTGTTTGATTGTTTTTGTTTAGCGGCATATCAACATCTCTATGGGTTATTTAATGCTGAAATGTAAGTTTTTTGTACAAACTTTGATTTTATTTTTGGAGATAATAACTGTTTAGTGATACAATTCATACTTACTAACCCATAGATAGGGGTGAAGTAGTGGATTCATACATTTCCCAAGAGCATTTGTGCGTAGCTGAATATAACGAACCCGACTGGAATTTGGACTCCGCTCTCTGATTAAAAATTTCGAGCCATTATCCATTACACTATCCACATATCCAAGCTTACAGCACCTAATACTCTTAAGTAGTCACCCATTTAGTTACTGACCAAGCTCGAGGTTGCTTAACTTCGCTGGTCGTACGAGAAGCACCAATCAAAATATGGCATTTTAAGCAATAGTAAATTCGATTCATATTGATTTCCCGAAAATTAAACCATGGTCCACAATGAATATAGCCTGACTAAATATTGCGAGTTTTATATCGGAGTGAAGAATAAAATGAAAATCTCGAAGGCTGTTGCAAAGAAATTCTAAATGTCTATCCATTTTTTACTAATGTTCAGATAATACAAGCCCCAAGAGCGACTAAAGGGAGTGGTTTACTAAATGCAGTGCTTATAAGCGTGTGCACGGATGGAACATGAGTTGCGTATTATGAGGCAAGATAACAGTTGACCCTAGACTTCAAGAGGTTAATTTTGAAGTCATCGACGCAGGGTTTGATTCTGATTTGATCAGGAAATTTAAGCAGTGGAAAGTACGCAGCGGAAGGCTTGGGAACCCCAAGTGCTGTAACAAAAGCCTAGAAGTACCCGTCAAGATATGAGGCTAGAAATTCCATTCCTTAATACTTTTACTTCATACAGAAGCCACAGTAGCAACGGTTAACGTTGTGTACTGTGCCTCCATGATTCCTTGTTGGAGTATACGATCCTAAATGTAAGGGAGAATATATGCGACGGCTAACATCACGGAAAATAAGAAGGTCGGGTGAGAAATTAATAGGCTGACCAAGATATATATGTAATTAGAAACACCATTTAGTCGACTAAAAGTCATATAAGTGTACTAAAATACTACAGCAAATAAATAATTCGTATTCAATTCAGAGTATTTTTATTTAACGCATAGTAGGAATTTGTATGTCTAAGAACTTTCTCATTGTTAGCTATCAATTTGGTATGATTCTAACTTTGCTTAGCATTGATCACACTAAAAGATTGCACCATTTTCAAAAAACAAAAAATATATATATAAAAATATATATATATATATATATATATATATATATATATATATATATATGGGGCACGTGGCCGGGTGGTTTGAATGTTCGTATTCTCACCATGATACTCGGATTTGAATCTAATCATGTTCGATTTGTCAGAGAGGTGATTTCTGATGCTATCAGAATGGAGAGGTCGGTTCCAGCGAGAGGCACCTTTGGAAAGTGCCTGAAAAACATACTACGATTTGAGCCAAGCCTTTTGAGTGAAATTGCTAGACGCAAACATTGGGGGACGTAGATAGCTGTGATGGAACAAAGTAATAAATCATCGTGGCCGTGGGATTCAGCTTTCTGGCCTTGTGTAGTGCCCCATGCAAGGAACTAAAGCCAGTAAGACACAAGGGTTTACAGCGTATGTAATAATTAGGATCAGAAACATGTACAAGAATGCATACCGTAAAATTACAATATTTTTCTGAGTAACGAGTGACATAGGAGAACTTCAAGTACTAAAATATTTTACAAGAAAAATAACACCTCTTTTCACACTTGTCAGGTAAACGAGAGACGATAATAATATAAAATATCCATTATGAATATATATATATATATATATATATATATATATATATATATATATATATATAGAAAGCCTACCGTAAAATGGTAGTATATTCTGAGTATCTAGTAAAATAGGAAAAATATAAGTACTAAAATGTCTTATGAGCAACATTGATCTATATGTTCAGCAAAAATTCTCGCTGGTTACATTTTTGGTTATGATATACGTTATCGATTTCGACAAACTTTCCCCAACTTTTTCGCTACACTCGACCAATCCTCCGCTCCGCCAACCCGTCACAAAAATTATATCTACCACGAAGTTTGGGATTGTCAGATATTTCAGTATCGCCACTAAACAGTCACCCTGATTTTTCTTACTGCCATTTTCGTCTATCAACTGTCATTTTCATTCCACCAAAATTATCTTGGCAGCTGTTTTAGAAAGCCATCAATCATCGTCTGTGACAAGACGTACCGCAGTTGCCGCAGAGTTCTTTTCGCGCATAAGACAGTTTTTGAGCCATGCTAGGATTCGTTTGAGAGTATCAAAGTATGTCTGTGCGGCGGAGTGGTCTGTAGATACACAGACAGACGAAGCACACACTGTAATATATATATATATATATATATATATATATATATATATATATATATTAAGAGAGAGAAAGTGAGTGAGAAAGAGAAAGAGAGAAAGTTGTAAATATAGATAGATAGGAAGAGACTTAAGTTAATTCTAGATGTTTTCATAGCTAGAAACAGTCTTAGATATCAGAAGACATATAGGTATTGACTACCAAAGATATTTACGTGTACACTGCGATATAAAAATGAGAAAACTCTGTGATGGCTTGAAGCCAGACAAAGTTAGCAAGTAACGACTAAGTTAATAAGTAAGGCGAACACAGAGAAACGCACACAAAAAAACACACACACGCTTACATGTATATATAATCACACACACACACTCATATATATATATATATATATATATATATATATATATATATATATACACCTGTGTGTGTGTGTGTGTGTGTGTGTGTGTGTGTGTGTGTGTGTGGGTGGGTGGGTGAATAATTGATTTAGGTAAAAGTTTTACTACTTAGTTGACTGATATTACCTTCAGTGTCCCGACTCCAATGTTTCGTAGACGCACCATCCTGGAATCAGTCTCTCAACTCCTCAAGTGTTTCAGCAATTGCCTGCTTATATTTCTCGATTTTTCTTTATCATATACTCTTTTCATTGGTGAAATTCTTTTTTCATAGTGTATAAGTGCGTGTGTTGATGTGTCTGTTCGTCCTTTCACGTACGTGTGTGGGTGTACAATGTCGTTATTATTTGTTTTTTACGTCGTTTTTATCTCTGTTTCCTCTTTTCTTTCAATTGTAGCCATTTTGACTTGCAGTTTTCTAGACATATACAGTTGTTGTTGATTCTTGAGCGTTCTAATGCTTTCTTGTGTTAGGAAACATGTATTTTATTTCACACACACATAAAAAGAATTAATGGTGTATTTTTGAATTTCACTTATTTCAAACGATGTTTTTGCTGAATAGCCACATTTGAATAGATGCGCCATTTTATTTTATGTAAATATACCCCCAATCAATTTTGAATCCCGCGTCATCCGTTTTTGGCAAATCCGCCGTCTGGTTCGATATGCTTTAACCACTCGGCTACGAATAGATTTACAGTCAACCAATGTTCTATTGGCCGTTAAAGAACCTTCACGCGTTCAGATTTCTCAAAACAAATGTTTCCTCAGTTTCGAACTCGAAAGAAATAAAGTATTTATTTAGTCACCCAACATATTTTAATTGCTTCAAGGGTATTTTTAATGAATATCCGTATTTGAGTATAGTCAGAGAAGATTGATTGAGCAGCTCTCATTCGCAAGCAGATTTCAATCATGAAAAAGGATATATATTCTTTAATAGGTTTTTTTCGGGTTTGCATGGTGAGAAACGAAACAATGTTTGAAATAAAACGAAGCGTCTACTTAAACACGGATATCCACTAATAATACTGTTTGAATTTTTCGAGTAGACTTATTTTACCCATATTTATACCAAGGGCAACCCAGAATACAAAACATGGGCAATTGCATCACAGGTCGATAAGAACAGATCTAGACATTTAAATATAATGATAGATAGATATGAACATCGGCAGATATGCACATCGATAGAACGATATATATATATATATATATATATATATATATATATATATATATATATATATATATATATATTCAAATAATAGGTAAAAAGAGGCAGAGTTATAAGAGTTCTTGAGCATTTATTTTTATTTAACAAAAAAACAGGGCTCGATACAAGTACAGTATTTTTTTCTTTTTCTTTAAAAAAAAATATATATATAGGGAGAGTAATGCGAATATAGATAACCAGATTGATAAATATTAATAGAGATAGATAGATAGATAGATAGATAGATAGATAGATAGATAGATAGATAGATAGATGTGTTATTGTCTGAAGGCAAATATTATTGTATATGTCTAATTTGAAGCGATAGTATTCGAACAGCCATATTGCATATGGCTCTGTCAATGAAAACATTTTTGTTTTAATTGAAGTTCTATATTTGATCATAAGCCCCGGATCATCAAATGTTAGAAATTTCACCTATTTTTCCGTGTTTTTCATATTCAATAGGATTCAACTTAAAAAAAGCTATTTAAGTCAGTTACATCCAAAATTTCTTCATGAATTTCTCCTCTGAATCGAAGAAAGAAACCTATCAATCAAAGAAATTAGTGTACTTAAGTGTGATTCGGTTATTTGTAATCAAAAACGACAAATATGGCAGCGTCGTAGAATGTGAGAGAATAAGATTATTTCTCAAAGAATCAATTGTCAATGTTCAATAATAGGTCATAGCCAACATTTCAACAAATGATTTAAAACTCCATAAATAGATAGATAATTTAGGACGTGAAGATTATTTTCGACTTATTTAGTTATATTGGAATAAAGCAGAATGTATCGTCATTATCCTGAGGGACAAGTAATAAGATGCAACAAGTCATTGTAAAATTGTGACTGAGTGAACTGATCTGGCTCAACAATAGATCACAATAGATTACACGCACTCTCCCAAAAGATAGTAACTAAGTACCGCTTAGCATATTTGCAATAAAAACCACCGTTTGGCTGTGTGTATATTGAGAAACACAAGTTATACTTGAGTAGATGACTTAACAGAGATCCACAGCCTCGCAGGCGGGCATGAACAGGTACAAGCAGACAGCCATATTGTAAGCAATTCTGTAACTAAAATAGAAACGTCTTGATTTAGAGACCTCAAAATCAAGCAAGTACAGATATTCAACTGTATATGCTGTATTACAAACAATTATACTAAATAACAGTAGTCACACGACACGAGAGTTTTCGAGCCAGAAAGCCAGATATTGCATAGAGTACATACGTAACCCGACGAGAAAACAGACATAATTAAGATGTTGACATTTCACACTAAAACCAAGAGGTTATGAAGGAATTCTCGATCAATACTTGAAAGAGAGATAACATTCAATGGACTTGAGAAACTAATTTTCCTTCAAGCTATTCTGATAGAAAGTTATTATAAATTTCAATGGACAGTACACCTGGTTATTCGGTCAATGTTTGCTGAATTATTCCACATAACGAAATGGCGAATATTAGCATTACAATTACGAATGTATTCACACAAAATCAAAGAATAAGATCGCATTATTCCCAGCAAAAAATTATTGTACATCTAAAACAAATATTATCAACTGTTATTTTTATCAACAAATAAGATGGTGTTGTGTAAAAAATGTGTATATCCCGATGAAAAATCCATATTTGTTTTATGGGCCTTTGTCTTCCATGAGTTTTATCAATCTTAACAGCTTAGAATTTACAAGATATACACAATCACTGTTAGATGTTTCCATTCTCTCATCGTGCATCCTTTCAGACATCTCTTCTAGGTGGTTCTTCTACTGTGTGTTTAGTTATAGTGAACAAGAGGTTCGTTCGATTTACAACACTTGACATAGTTACTCAATGGAGAAAGGTTGCCTTCATCAGAATCCTTAGCAGGGGAGACTCTCATAATTGTAAATTAAAATGAAAACAGAAAGTCCTAATAGAACATTTTTTCTTTTATTTTATTTATGTATTTTTGTTTAAAAAACAAATAAGTAATAACTGTGAACTGTATGGATAGAAAATGCATTGATTTCAGCCTAAAATATAGTCCTAGATACGAGTTTTATTTCGAGAAACTCCAAATCGCAAAATACACAAAACTACATGATTTGTGTCGTAACAGACCAATAAAGACTGATGTAGAAATTCGAATGCAACTAGCGATAAATGTCTTAGAGATGCTGAACAAGGATCGGAAAATGTATTTAGAAACAAACAAAAATGTTTTACTCAGATATGATATCTAATCATCTATATAAAAGCATGTTTGGCCATTTCTTTAGAAATTTAGAGGAGACTTGAAATCACAGATATGTAATTCTGCAGCCGACTATTGAGAATACGAGGAACAGAGCAGGTTAGAAACGAGGAAACGTTTTGGAGAATAGGAACTAAAAAGTTATTACTGTACAAAATCAGAATTTAAAAAATGCTTAGAAAATTTAATTTTAAGAGGCTTTGCTCAATTCTGGGACATTGTGGAAATAACAGAGTATAAACTACACGACGAATATTAGTATATGTAAAACAGAACGGGAATCACGCAACAATCGATCGAAAAGTATTGTAGTCCAGATCGGACATGGCGAATAACGGATAATAGAGAAAGTGAACCTATTGATAGCTATGAAGGTCTAAGTCCTAATGTGACATGGCATTATGAAATTACATCAGAACAAAATCCTGTGACTTAATTATTTCTCCTGTGTTCAATATACGAAAAAGAATTGACGTAACAATCTTCAACAATATATTTAGTGAAACTGTTTTATTTTGTTATTAGAGTCGTGAGTTTAATGCAATTGGCAATTTTGTTTTCGTTTGTGAACTTCTGTATTTCTACTGACACTATTCATTTTTTTCTCTAAATAAACTTCACCGATCGATAGAACATTTTATTTAATTGTCCCCTTCCGGAATATGAGAAAAAAAAATCACATATCTTTCTAGTTTGCCATTAGTGCCTTCTTTAATTTCTTCGTTGAATAAGGAAATACGCCACTTTCTTGTGACAATTTTTTTTCTTTCAAGCGAACTAACACAAAAAATCTTCTGTCCAATACTTAATTAGACGAAAGTAGTAATTACTTTTTTTTAGCTCGAAAACTCAACCAGTTATAAATCGAGGTGCTAAAATTCAGAGACAGTTATTTAATTATGTATATTTCCTTCTTTCGACTGTATCCAATGGTTGCGCGTCGAGCCATGACGTCTACGAGGAGGGGAGAATGAATCATTGTGCGCATATAGAGGTTTTGTAATGTATTTGAAGGGTGTGTAAGCTATTTGACGGTTGTGTAAGTTATTTGAAGGGTGTGTAAGTTATATTAAAGACCGTAAGAGAAGCAAACACATCTTACACACAATTAGATTTATTGATACTAAACTTGGTACACAGATGCCGTAATGGTTGAATTACATGTTTATTCAATAAAACCGCTTTCGACAGCAATGATGGCTTCAATGCGGAACCAGAATTATTGACATGCGCGCATCACATGGCCTGCATTGATATTCGGAATTACACTGATAATGATGGATTTCAGTCTTACTGCGGCAACGTTGTTTCGTCTCTGGTTCACAAAGGCTCGGCATATAATAATCAAATGGATTTAGGTCTTATGAATTGGGTGGCCACACGTTTGGTGTGAAATGGTCGTGCAAATTTGCGAATTACACAATTTTGAAAGCAGGTCCAAGAATCCCGCTGGAAAAAAAAGCACAGCCTTCTATTGAATACAAGTTCTACGCAGGCTTTTTTAACTGTTTCTAGTAAGACAGTTTCTTCAACAGTATTCAAGCGAAGACCTTGTTGAAAGAAGTATTTTGGCACGTCTTATTCTTCACTATTCACTAACCATCACAGAAATTGAAAACTTGGCGGGCATAAAATCGAGGACCTCAGAATGATCCGCAAGAATGGACCTGTCATATTTTTCGATCCACTTTTTGATCCTGGTCGAGATTTCTTTTTCGTCTAAAAAAAGAGTATGCCAGGTTCTTCTGGATGTTTCAGTAATCGTTTTGCTTGGAGTAACCCTTGCTCGCGCGCATGCGTGTTTTTTATGTGTGTGTGTGTGTGTGTGTGTGTGTGTGTGTGTGTGTGCATGAACAGTCCTTTCCTTTTAAAGTATGTTTTGTACTTAATATATTTAATGTAGCAAATAGCGAATTGTGCCCTCGAATACTTGGATATCCCTAGCAATGGCCCTCATGCATGTGTCCGTATAAGCCTCGATAATATCCTGCACTCGCTGTAGAAAATCTGTTGCGCTTATAAAGTTCATACGTTGTGGATAATTTTTGACGTCTCTCTATACGAGACATATTTCTGCTGCGGTCTTCCAACCTTGTGCAAAAATGATCTGGAAACTTTCCAAAAAACATGAAATTGCGTGTATCGCAACAATTGCAACATGTTATTTAATCCCCTGCGTTAGCTGATAGTTCTTCATTGATGCTGTGAAAAGATAAAAGAACATTAATTTATCATTTCATACCTGAGATGACTAAGATGAACACATTGCTTTTTAATGGATATACGGCGAACGCAATGTGACACCAAATGGTCAATAAAAATATGATAATAACATTTTACACGTGAGACTTCATTTTCCCTAATAGTCCTCGTGAATTTCAATGTAACACACCCACACTATTACTGAGCTACCTGTAGTTTCCTTATATGCTGCATACTCGGCTAAATACAGTCTCCTCTACAGAAAAACTGGCCTGTCTGTCGGTTGTGTGTTAATGTCTGCTGCACGAAGGCATGACTGACGCGTTTTATCGTAACATCGTGAAAATGGGATGAGAATTCGGTGCAACAATCTGCATGCAAGCGATCTGGGATTACAGAAGAAATGTTTGTCGCAGATTATTTCCACATCACAGAGAATAAATCACTAAGTTCAAACTCGAAATTCGGGGTCAGAAAGAAATGCTGAAAACTCGATTCGCATGAAGGCAACCAGTCAGAAAAATAACTCATTCTCCAACAACCGTGGTAATCAAAATACCCGAATTTCACTCCGATTCGAGAACACCAACTGGTTTTATCGGCTGGGCATTTTTTCCATTGGTCGACAGCTGGGAGAGGATGTTCAGTAATTTGCATATCAAAATACTTTTATAGCGACTCCCGCGACGGACTTGTTTTTTTTTTAATTCAAATATTCCATCTTTAGCATGTCATGCGCAATACGTGCCCTTTTGTTTGGTAAGTAATTTTCTTTTTCGCCACATTTTCCGTCGTAGAATACACGCGACGCGCTGTCGCTTGGTTTGAC